GCAATAGGATCGCAACCCTTGGTGTCGTGCCCGCACCGCGCTCAACCAGTGAGCGGACCGGTCTCTATATGGGATCCAACCCTCGGCGGGAGCGCCACCACACTCCCAAGCGCCGCACTCTACCGAGTGCGCCACCGGGCCGGCCCACTAAATCTTATCTTTAGCCCAAACTTCTCAATCCATCTGCCCACTAAATTTCACTTGGTTATCCCACAAACACCTGTGTGTGTCTTAAAACAATCATTCTCCCCCAAACCTACTCTTATGCCTGCGTTCCTTACTTTGGTTCAGTTCAGAACAATCATCTTCTAAGTTTTCTAGACTCATTTCTTTTCTCCACCTTCCCCCGATCAATTAGTGTCTAAGTTCTACTGCTTTTCCCTCCATCTCTGTGATACAGCACTGTCTTTCCATTTTCACTGTTATCTGAAGTACTACACTAACCTGTCACCTTATGCACAGCCTATCTCCTCTCTGTTGCTCCACAGTGTCACCAGAGTAGGCTTTCTAGAAGCGCCCTGACAATGTTACTCCCTACTTAACACCCATCAGTGACCTCATGAACCTTCTGGAGAAAGCCAAACTCCACTGACTGGTCTACAAGGTCCTCTGATATATCTCTCCCACCCAGTGTTCTGATAAAACAGACTTAACAATTCTCCAAATGCCCCATGCTGTAGTCTTCACATCAAGTGCCCTAGCCATCATTTCCTGCCTGGAAAAAGCCTATGCAGGCCCAGCATAAGCCTGTTTTCTGTGAAATCTTCCTTGCTGTATTCAAGGAGAGTCATCTAACTTCCTCTTTTGTGTCACCACTGTAATCACAGCCTACCTCTATTGTATCACTTATTGTACTGTATTGTTTTTGTTTTTTAAAGTCTCCTTTACTAGAATGTGAGCTCCTTAAGGGCAGGAAGAGGAACTTTATTCATTTTTGCATCTCTATAGCTTAGTTTTTGGCATATGAATGTTTAATAAACGTTTGTTGACTAAATTGCTTTTAAAATGACAAGTTTATTGTATTAGAGGTCATACCTTCACTTCAAACACCATCACTGCCTTCACTTTACAGCAAAGGTCAGTAGATCCCCAAGGATTTGTAGACTCTAGGGGGTCAGTAAAGCTGAAATTATTCAAAATTTAGTGTGGTTTTTGGCAAGTCATGAAAGAGATCTATTCTAGCAAAGAAAAAAATCCTTCTTTAAAGGGAAAAGGCAGCATCATTGAGGAATTTTGTGAATAATCAGAGTAGTTGCCCAGGATTATGGGCTAGACAAATTGATTTCTGTTAAAGATTCAAAGGGGAAGTGGGGAGATACTTCATATAAGCATTTTTCTTAACTTAATGTTTGAATAAATGGGTACTATCTAATAATGTTTTGGTATTTTAAAGTGTGTGGCACTTCATATCAAACTGGTGTATGACACTAAGTGATATGACATCCAGATGCAAGTCATTATGAGATTACTAAATGCAAACTGTCATTTGTAACTCCCAATATTTTTCTCTTTTCCATGCTAGCACTAGAGTTCTTATCCTTATGTGATAGAAACTGAGTGTAGTCCATTGAGAGATTAAGAAAACCAGACCTCCAAATAAAAGCACAAACACTTTTATTTTTAATAGTAGTGTTTTGTTACAATTTAGTGAAACAACAAATAAATACATTCATGGGCCACAGCTATATTTTTACAACCAGTTTGAGACTGATTATATAGCTGGGTAACACTGTTAAACAATAAAAAAGGCAGTTATGCATAAAAAGCCACGTTAGCTATAAATTACATCTTCCATAAAACTACAACCAGCTAACAATGAATTGTAAGAGTTTCAAAATTAATGACCACCCTAATGAAATGATAAAATCAAGTACTTCTAATCACTGTAGAATTACATACTTAAGGAATGAAATTCACTTTTCTAATTAAAGAACAAAGTAAAGGAAGGTTTGAAATTGTCATCATGTGCTTCAGTGCAGGATGAACAGGGAATCGGTAGCCCTTTGATTTTATAAACAACTCCTTCTTTCGAGACCAAACTTAAAGTGCTCCTAGTGCTTTGGAATTTTTAAGCAAAAATTGGGCCAGAGTTTATCTTTCTTTGTCTTTGGTGATGTATTGTGTGAGATGTATATAAGGAGACAAATGCAAAAATTTAGTTACCTTAGTCAGTGATAAGAATAAACTTACAAATCTGAAATTTGGAATGCAGCTGAAAGAACCAAGTTATTTTATCTGAATTTTAAAAAAAGTAATCTTCGCTTATCTGGTCAAATAGGAACACTATTTAAAGAAGAAAAAATTTATCACACTGAACTCCAAGGATTAACAAAGACAACACAGATCTTTTCAGATAGCTCTAGATAATCAGATATTTAATATTATTAGCAAAATAAATAGTTGACATTCTGGAAGGATGTCTAATAACTGAAGTTATGATAAAAATGGACTGCTATGTTGTCATGTTAATACCAATGTTAACTTCTGTTCTATAAATTTTTAAATAATTTTGTTACAATGAAAGAAATTATTATAAACAAACCCAAAGTGACAGTTATAAATCTATGCCAATTGAATTTAAAGTCATTCTGTATCATAAAAAGAAGGAATTTATTTGGCTGTGTACCAGTCTCCCAAAAGATTGAAAGTATTAACAATTTCATTTTTTCCTTAGGTTTCACTTACTGTTACACTTTTGTGAACTTACTACATCAGTTATTAAAAAGTTGAAAGATACGGTAAGTAAGAATAGAAGTAAAACAACTTTCTAACCAAAGCAGAAGACAGAAGAGGACAGCCGTATTAGTTGCAGTTCTGAAGAAACAGATTAGTCATTTTTAAGCATGTTTTGATAACTTCCCAATGTTGCCTGTTCCTTGGCATCTTGAGGTATTCAGCATCTAATTATTTCCATATAGACACTGATAGAAAGTGCATTTTAAAATTCTTTATTATCTTAGCCTACCATGTATATACTTTTAGATTTGGGATAGGACATTCAAGACAGTTTTAATGTAATTCTAAAAGTATTCCAATATTGTTACCCTCTGGTTTTATACTTACCTAGTTTGTACATTTACGTAGGTTTGCTCATTAAGTCTAATGCTGGAATTTGAATTCAATTTAATTTGCCCATGTACAAGATATAAAATTGTGAACACTAAAGGAGGAATTATGTTTTAAAAAGTATTGCACTTGAGTTCACTGCAATAATGTATCATGATTTAATTTACCTGAGGACAATCCTGATTCAGTAGGTAAGATCAGCTATATCTTTTTTCAGATAAATTGAATGCTTTCAAAAATGTATTCACATTTTAGCTTCATGAATAATTCTTAAATGTATCTGTAAACTTGTTTTAGTCTCAAGAAGTTTCTACCAAAATCTCTCTATGAAAAAGTCACTATTGCTTTCTTGAAGAATCATGTTTAAACTACTACAGATATCTTAATCATACAAAATAATCACTTGACCAATTCTATTCAAAGTACTCACACATTTTTTATTGGTATATCTTCCTTTTGAAGAAATTACCATGCCTTTCCAAAGAACACTGCTGGTCATCACTGTAAAAGATTACTACTATCATTTGTTTAAAATGATTTTTTGAATAATTTTAGTTGGTATTTTAAAAACATGCTTAAAAGAACTGTCTTTAATGATTACTTATTTTTAGAAGATTTTAAAAAATAATGATACATTTTTATGCTTTAAGTCTGTGTACTGTTCACACTATAAAATTTTTATTGGGTAGGAATTCCATATAGAGCACGCCAATGAATATACAGGCTTTGATTTTTATAGGAAAATTTCCTTCCAGTTTGGTGTACGATATGATATTCCAGTGTGAACACTGGAGTACGACTTTGGGGACTGCAGTGTATTCTTTCAGAACAAAGATAAAAGTGCAAATATGCAAAAATACATTTGATCTTCCAAAGTCAGGATGCCTGGAGGCCATCAAGTGCCATACGATCTAATCTCTCTTTTCTCCTACTCCAAACTTTACATTTTACTATGAAGAGGTCAAAAGTAACAGCTGTATTCTCCACCAAACACAGCCACACTTCCAGATTTTGTTTTCAGTTGCAACAGATAATGGAATGTTTATGTAGATGAAATTTAAACACAATGAATATACACATTCATGAAAAACAATTCAAGAATCACAACTTGGTAATGCTGTCAGTTTTGTGGTGTTACATATAAGCTATGGTGACTGTTCATATCTAAATTACTGCAAGTAAATAGCAAAGGAGCAGTGTCTGTCATAGGTCCATTCAGGTGGGGAGTGACTGTATAACTGTTGCTGCCACATCCAGCCATTGTGCCATACCAGCCCAAGCTTTGTGAATTTGATAAACTGCAACAAAAAAAGGCAAAGAGGCCATAGAACTGTGATCAGGATATAAAAAATCACACTGGCATTTTTAACATTTTCTTTTTTTTTTTTTTGCAGTGCTTAGAGGAAAATTTATACTTGTAAACACCTATATTAAAAGTAAAAAAAGTCTCAAATGTAAATTTCTACCTAAGGAGAAAAAGAGGAGCAAACTAAACCAAAAGCAAATATAAGTAGGAAATAACAAAGACTATAAAAGAAATATATGAAATAGGGAATGAAACAAGAGAAAAAATCAACAAAACCAAAATTTGATTCTTTAAAAAGATCAACAATTTGCAAACCTTTATCTAGACTGACCAAGAAAAAAACAGAAGATGGAAATTATTAAAATCAGAAATAAAGCAGGGGCATTATTACCTTGTCATTATGGTGTTTTTTTTTTTTTTAACATTTTCAATGAATTTTATGTACAGTTAGTATCAAATTTATGGAAATACATTTTTTGCCAAATAACACAATGACTTTCTATAAAATTTAATGACTTTTATCTAATATCCTTGATTTTATATCCCATTATATTACAAAAGAATTAATGCCACTCAGAACTAGTAGAACTTGATTATCAGGTAACAATAATAATAAAGTGCTTATTAAGCAGTAGGCTAATACATGTACATATGTATACATGTACACATACACATACACTCATTTAATCATCACAACAATATTATGAGATAGCTTCATCCTTATTTTACATCAACCCTATTTTACGGATGAAAAACAGGCCTAAAAACCTGAGGAAGTAACTTGTCCAGATGAAGTTAGGATTACAGAAAATATGTGATAAAGCTGAAAGCATTATATGGGTGTACATTAACATTTTCTCTTTGCCCTGATACATGGATAATAGTTTACTAGTTAAGGACTTGCAATGGTTTTGGAACAAGGAGGGCATGGGAAGATTTCCTACAGTACATAAGCTCCCCATGAGTTTTATCTAGGGTTCCTCTGTGATTCTGAATAGCACTAGAGATCTGAAAACAGACACATAACAACTATAATAGTATTCCTTCCCCCTCCCATCTCCCACCACCTCTGAACCAACAAGGGATCCTGAAGTGAAATGAATTACCCTCAAAGGCATTTCTCAAATAAAGGTAATATATAGGCTTTGAGTCAGATGGTAGTTCTTTATAGTGCAGGTCCCACCATGGGTTTAACATCTACTGCTTTAAGCTCCAATATTACATGATCTTATTTATTGATATATACCACCAAATCACCTTTTTCATATTTGGGTTAAAGTTTAGATTTTTTCTTTTCAGTGTATTTCAGTACTAATTCAGGCTAAGTGACTTTTGTTACATCTACCTTCCTTCTCTTGAACTTCCCAGTCTTGGCAAGTCATCATCACTATCATATCGCCTTGGATTGTCGAAAAAGTAAGCTCTGGAAGTATAACTGTGACTATTTATCATGCCAGCAGGTGCCTGTGAACGAAGTATCAGACAGCAATGAAGGGTTTACTTTTCAACTAAGAAAGGAAGCTAGAATCTGTAATGACTTTTGGTCTTAAACTTTGCCAAAAATAGAAAATCAATATAAATGTTCTATAATTAAAAAAAAATAAGAACAAACATTGGGGAATATTATGATATCATACCAAATTCTGGTTTAATCTCTGTGCCCGGAAAAACAGTACCACTGACCATGCTGGCACATGTTCCCACAGAAAGAGGACCATTCCAAATACTATATACTCTTCTCCACTTACATCTTCTACATGGGCCTGTAAATAGAGTATGGCAAGAGCAAGTTTTACATCTGTTTTATGTATAAGCAATCACCCTCCACAATTAATTTGTTTCAGGTGGGGTAAGTTAAAATATATCAGCTATAAGCACATAAACTATAAAATTTTCTATATTTTGTGGTTTCTCATGTAACTAGACTTATCACTTAAGGGACATAAAAATGCTTTGATGTTAGGTAGAATAAAAAGCTGTTAACTTTTTCAATGCATCAATTTACGAAAATAATTTTAATATATGGATACTATGGAGTGATCTCAGTTTTAGTGCCTATAGTCTGAAGAGAGTTACTTATAAAGAGACTACTGTTCTAGCTGCTCCAAAGGCAAAATAACAGTGCTATAGCACTTACCCTGAGTTACACCTGTAGAGAAATGTAACACGTTAAGTCACTCATCTCAGCTGCTACTTCAAATATGCTTTTGGGCCTAATCTACATATTGAATTTGTTTCTATTCTACCATATATTGGGAGAGAGAAGTGGGGAAAAAAAGTGAAGAGACTCTGTCACATGGAAGCACATGTGAAAATTCCTCCTCCTTAGAAAGGTAAATGAAAAATGGTATTCTAGGATACCTTAAATTCAGTACAAAGTTAAATTACTATAAAGGTATGACATATAGCTATGTACTTTTAGGAAGGGGATGAAGAATGCTGGGAAGTTAAATATGCATAGCTAGAGTATGGAGAATTACTGTAGCAAACACCTGGACACCCAAGGAACTATCAATGCTTTCCTAATATCAAGAGTGATACTGTCAGATTTTTATGAAAGTCATTATTTAAACATAAAACTAAACCATACATTAAGGTTATATGTAGTTCTTGGGTAGGGGAGAGTTAATTTCACCCTAACAAATTAAAAACATATCCATATCACTGGCTAATGACAGGCAATTAATTTATCTAGTAATATTTAAACATCATCCTTGGCTTAAGACGCTATTATTATTTACAAAAAGTAAAAAAACTCCTTTGGGAGAAGTTCTCTCAGAAGAAAGAGTTTGAGTGTCAACATGTATATGAGGATTTTTAAATACAGAGTTTAAAGTATGATTACTGATAGTAGAGTTTCCACAAGAAGTGTTTGTAAGTCAAACATTAAAATGTTCTCCTAGTTAAAGCTAACTTAATTGTCACTTTGTTAGGTTGGCAATATGTGATAGGTACTTACCTTATCTGAAAGATTATCCCAGCCATAATTAAATGGGCTTTCTAATGTATCCTGAGATATGGCGATCACCACCAAATTATAACAAGCTCTGGAAGAGTACAGAAGAATGACTACGGAGCCAACAACGACAGTCTGGCACAAAGACATACCCTAAAAGGAATAAAAATCATCATGATATTCTGAACATTTGTTACGGCAAGCTATTCATCCATACACAAGATGGTCACCTCTTGCAATGAACTCCTAGAAAACACTGAGTGGGCAACGGTTGAAATAAACTATTGATTATCTTGCTTTATAATTCTTATTGCAAGAATCGCTTGTGTTAATATGTGAAAATTCTTTGCCAACTTGCCAAATGGCAGCTAAAGGAAGATTTTGTTCTGCCAAGGTTACCTTACTCCCTTAAGTAATATATGAATAAACAAGTTGGCAAAAGTTCTAAACTTTAATTGATGTTAAACAGAGAGGTAGTTTAGTCATAATGAGAAAAGAATGGAAAACAGAAGCATTACTTCATTTGGTACACTTAATTTCTGATACAAAATTAGAATAGAAATGTAGTTCCTATGCTATGTGCTTCATTCTTTTAGATTCTATTAGATAGTTGATGTTAGCTCTTTACTGATGCCATTATGTTGATGACAATTTTAAGACTATGGCCTTTATCATTCCCCAAATATAGAAAGTCCAGGGCCGGCCCGGTGGCGCACTGCTACAGTGCGCTGCTTGGGAGCGCGGCGGCACTCCCGCCGAGGGTTCGGATCCCACATACAGACCGGTTCCCGCTCACTGGCTGAGCGAGGGGCGGGCGCAGCACTGAGGGTTGCGATCCCGTTGCCGGTCCCGGTCCGGTACGGGCGTGACACTGAGGGTTGCGATCCGTTGCCGGACACGAAAAAAGACAAAAAGGAAAAAAAAATATAGAAAGTCCATAACTTAATGGTTCTCAACTGGAATGTGTATATTGGAGAGGCATCACCTCTTGCAAGGATTCTTAACTTGGGATTAGTATTTCAATACAATCAGTTTCCTTTGTAATACTGCGTATTTTATCTTATGCATTAGAAACATTATTCTGAGATGTGACACCATTGCCAAAGAGATACACTGCAAAAAAACCCCACCCAAGATAGTGTTTTGAAAGTTTGTGTTTTGGTTGTCACAATGTTTAAGGGACAATTATTCATTTAGTGCACAAGGTCCAGGAAAGCTGGATAACCTGCAATTCATAGGCAAGTCCTCTACATAGGAGAATTGTCCTCTACCCTTCATAACTTCCTGAACATTCATAAAGATGAAAAACCTGATTATAATTATCTGAGCCACAACCTAACTCAATTTTACATATAGGTTTTTTTTTTTTTTTTGTCCTTTTTCGTGACCGGCAACGGATTGCAACCCTCAGTGTCGCGCCCGTACCGGACCGGGACCAGCAACGGGATTGCAACCCTCGGTGTTGCCTCCGCTCCTCGCTCAGCCAGTGAGCGGCCGGTCTGTATGTGGGATCCGAACCCTCGGCGGGAGCACCGCCGCGCTTCCCAAGCGGCGCACTGCTACAGTGTGCCACCGGGCCGGCCCTCAATTTTACATATAAAGTTTATGTTTGCATAATTTAAGTAGATGCCTACATGCGCCACCGGGCCGGCCCTCAATTTTACATATAAAGTTTATGTTTGCATAATTTAAGTAGATGCCAAAATTTTTAGAAATGTATATAATGTGTAAATTGAGGGAAATTTGTACTTTGTTTTGTTCAGAATTTTATCAAGTTGTTCAAATATTTCAGAAAATCATGGCACTGGCAGCAATACTACTCTTATATGTAAGTGACCAGTGCAACACACCTGTACCACTCTGCATTTGTAGCTGCCCCATTCACAGTTTCTGCCTAGATACAAACATGTGACTATTACATCATGCCCCAAAATCTACATATTGAAATATCAATTACTTTCCTCTTATTTCCCCTTTATATTACAGTTAGGACAATTACATTGAATTTTATGTGTGTTGGTAGGTAAAAATCTATTAATTTCAGGATAGAAACCTGTTATTAAAAATGTTTGTTATTAGAAGATTGTACTGGGTCTGGCAGGGTTGAGAACCATTATTGTAACTGACTTCCTTATAAGAACAACACATTTCAGAGGTACCTAAAAAGAAAGAACTAAAGGATAAAAGATACCTTGTTAAGATGTTGATAATAACAGAGTACCTTCTCTGAGCTAACCCACTACCAAAACAAAAAATATGTGTGAAAATAAAAGCCTGACAAGATTAAATTTTTAAAAAAGACTAAAATTTTCTACGATATGCATTTTTATTTTTGTGAATAAAAACAAAATGTTGTTAATAAGTTAATATAAAACCAATCCAGACCCAATTTTAAATGTTCTATATTATTAAAGAAAAGGGAACAAGAACAAGAGAACAGAATGCTATACTCATTACCATCCTCTACAATAACCACAAAAGTTTACATTCACTGCTTTGAGAAATAAAACAACTGCTAGAAAGAAACATGCTATAATATGGAGAGACGCTGTGTAAGCTTGCAAATACTACAAAAATGTTTCTAAAAGGTTGTGAGAGAAGAGCAAAGAATCAATAATCTCGAAATAATAAAAAAAAAACCAACCTGTAGCCAAATATGTAAATAAAACAATGAAAGAAACCCATCGATTTAGTAAACAAAATAAGATGCACCCTGCATTATGCAGGTTATGAAATGAAAAATGATTCAGCAACACATGGAAAGGGTTATCAAAAAGCTGAAGAAAATCTTCCTAAAATGAATAGGTTCAGAATAAATAGTTCCACTCAGGAACAATCCTCAAGGAACAATTCTCCTTCCCCCATCTCTGACATCTACATTCTGCTTTTCAAGAATCCCGCACTTGACAAGAGTTACGCCTCACACCTAAGCACTTCAGTGTCCATATTATTAACTATAGTTCAATATTTGTTTACAGATAATCTTAGAATGCAGATGTGCAGAAGCCTTAACTTACCATTCATAGTTTTGATAAATGCATACACCTGTGTAACCCAAATCACTACCAAAATATAGAATCATATCATCACTCCAGAAAGTTCCCTCATGCCCCTTGCCCATCAGCCAACTCCCCAGATGCAAATACTCCCCTGCTTCTGTTTTTACCACAAGGTAGTTCTGCCTGCTCTAGAACTTCATATAATTGGGATCATAAAATATAAGCCCCTCTGCAGGTTTTATTCATTCAGTATAATGTTTTAGAGATTCATCTATGTTGTTGGATCTATCAGTAGTTAGTTCTTTTTATTGTTGAGGGTATAATTAGGGTGATCAAATATTCCTGGTTTGCTGGTTTTAACACTTAAAGCCCCAAGTCGTGGAAAACTCCGCAGTCCCAGGCAAACTGGGATAGTTAATCACACTAATTCTACTGTATGATTATATGAGTTTGTTTACATGACAGTTTGTTTATACATTTTTCTGTTGGTGGACAGCTTCTATGAACATTCTTGTACACATTTTTGTGGATATACGCTTTCACTTCTTTTGGATAAATACCTAAAAGTGGAATTGCTGGGTCATGTGGTAGGTGTAAGTTCAGCTATACGAGAAATTGTCAGATGCTTTTCCAAACTGAATGTACACTTTTATACTTCCAACAAGTACGAGAGTTCTAGTTGCTCCCCTCAAATGTCCAATCTTAGGCCTCATTTGGGGTTGTCAATCTTTTTTTTTTTTGGTAGCTGGCCAGTCAATCTTTTTAATTTTAGTCATGCTGGTGGATATGTAGTAATATCTCATTTTGGTTTTAATTTACATTTCCCTGATGACTAATAAAATTGTGCTATTGGCCATTTGTATATTTTCTTTTTTTTCCTTTTTGTCTTGTTTCGTGTCCGGACCGGGACCGGCAACGGGATCGCAACCCTCGGTGTTGCTCCCACACCTCGCTCAGCCAGTGAGCGGGAACCGGTCTGTATGTGAGATCCGAACCCTCGGCGGGAGCGCCATCACGCTCCCAAGCACCGCACTCTACCGAGTGCGCCACCGGGCCGGCCCTCTATTCAAATCTTTTAACCACTTCTAAATTGGGTTGTCTTTTTTTATCATTGAGTTGTAGGAAATCTTTATATATGCTGGAAACCAGTTTCTCATCAGATATATGTACTGCAAATATTTTCTTGAAGTCTGGCTTCCTTTGCATTTTCTTAGCCTTATCTTTTGATGAGAAATTTTAAGTCTTAATGAAGTCTAATTTATCAACTTATTCCTTTCTGGTTATTAATTTCTATGAACTAAGAAATCTTTGCCTATACTCAAATGTTAAAGGTATTTCCCCCCGTTTTCTTTAGAAGCTTTTTGACTTCTTTCATTTACATTTAGGCCTATGATCCATTTTGAATTATTTTTTCTGTATGAGATGGAGTTGGAGGTTCATTTTAATCCATATGAATATCCAGTTGCTCCAGCAATTAGTTAAAAAGAATTCCTTTCCCCATTGGATTGCTGGAGTACGTTTGTCAAAAATTAAAAGACCACATAAGTTTGATTTCTGAGCTCATTCTGTTCCATTGATCTGTTTATTCTTATGGCAGTAGCTCAGTGTCCTAATTATTGTAGCTTTATCCTAAGTTTCAAAGTCATGTAGTGTAAGTTCCTTTCTTTTTCAGGGTTACTTTCTGCACTGTTCAATACAATAGCCATTAGCTACATGTATGATGGCTATGCAAAAAGCTGTACATATTTATTGTACACAACTTTATGAGACTGTCAACTTTTCAATTTCTATTTTTTTAAAAACACCTGGTAAAATTATGATTGATATTACATCGAATTTATAAAACAACTTGGGGAATATTGCCATCTTAACAAAACTGCATCTTCCAATCCATAAATATGGTATATCTCTTCATTGATTTAGGTCTTCTTTAGTTTCAGTAATATTTTGTAGTTTTCAGTATAGAGGTATTGCTTGTTTTTTGGAACATTTATTCCCAAATATCTTTTTTTCAATACTATTGTAAATGGTATTGTTTTTGGAATTTAATTTTCTAATTGATACATGCTAGTATGTATGAGAGTACTTCAAAAAGTTCATGGAAAAATAGAATTAAAAGAGAATACAAACCTTTCCATGAACTTTTTGAAGATA